TAGAATATGCTATTTATATAAACTTTGCCTTCAGAAAGCCATAAAGGTAGTACCTGTCTGTATTTCTGAGAAAAATATCTGGTTGTCCTCACTGAGATGGACAAAATGGCAAACGATTTTTCTCTAATACACAATATTGTGCTTTCCTTGAAAACCAATCCCACGTAATGGTGTGATGCATGGTTATTTCATCCAGAACTGTTGGTTCAGTGTCCCACTCTCCAGGATGGGTCTGTCTCCAGTACAGCAGTGTAAGTTTCCTGGGCAGAAGGAAATGCATGATGTTTCAATGCAAAGGCCACACTTCTCTGCCCTTGACATGTCGCCTCACCCTCTCCCCCACAAATCATACGACAACCAGTCATTCTTCCAGACCGAGTGAGTGTTATTAGAAGACATCTAGGATATATTTCTGGGGTGCACTCTTGGGAAAGCTGTGGTACAGAAAATCAGTAAGGAGAAAGGACGAAGGACAGAAGAAAGCCCGTATCAGGAGCAGAAGTCATATGCCTGAAATGTGCCCATCTTATGAGCAGAGGGACTGATTGCTTTTGTTCCAAAGTAACTTTTTATTTTTTTGGAGAGGATTTTTTGTTGTTGTTTTTGTTTTTTGCTATAGAGCGTGTGTACTTGCCAGATAGAGAGACAGAACGCAAGAAATCACTTCACAGGGAGGATGGCCATGCTGAAATCCTTTCACCTCCATTCTCCTCTCAGGATCTTGGACACGCATGCACATGCGCCCAGTGTGAGTTAAGCCACCGGGTCTGGGACTCAAACTGTGGTCCACTACATGGGAGTCCAGAGACATAGCCATTACGCCAACTGCTGGTCCCTCCAGAGTAACTTTTAAGGGTATCTGTTCAGTCAACAGTCTTGGAAGACAAAGGCCATGACTCCCTGCAGAGAAATAAGCAGGTTTAATGCTCACTGTTCAGTATGTTAAAGATAGCACCTTCTGGGAGGCATACTGCCCTTTATAAAAGACTTGAGCTCCGGTACACACACCCTATAGCAAAAAAAAAAAAGAGGTCTGAGCTCCCTAAAGTTCATGGTTCTTCCTCTACAATGCGCTTCTGTGCACCAAAGGTGTCAGCTGGCCTTCGTCACGTGTGGGCACTGGGGATTGGGGAATTGGTGTAGATGCTATTACCCTTCCTATACTATTGCTGTGAGACTAACCAAGGTGAATATGTCCCATAACCTTGAAATAGTGTGTAGATGAGATTATGGAATCATGGTCAGTCACATTTTTTTTACACATTCAGTATTTTTATTTACTTTTCTAGTGGTCAATTTACATACCTCTCTCACCCTTTCCTTTAAGTTAGTGTGGCAATTTTTCATAGTAGACTACTTAAAGAGAAGCTTTGGTCAAGAATGGAATGAAATAGAAAAACAATAACAGCCACAAAAGATCAATGCTACTTTAAAAAAAAAAAAAACCAACACTTTCACCAATTATAGTCAAACAAAAACACAATATTTGCAGTTAGCTTTCCTCACCAACATGCAAATGGCAGGTCCGCAGTCAGTTGGGTTCGTCATGCTGGATCGTGAAGCCTCACTCAGCTTCATGTTATCCAGAAGCCCTGGATAGAAGACTCTAATTTCTTGAACTCCCATATTGTCATGGCTCCATCAATGCCAGTAGTGCAAGCTGCGACAGTGTTGCTTATCCACCTCATAAATAGACATTTGAGTGATGCTATGCAGTGTCTCCAAGGCTGTACTACGGTCCTCAGTTGTGGCCCTCTTGTCCATGTTTCAGAAGCATTCCATGGCAGACATGTTAAACTGAATGCTCTGTTTTGTCTAGCTTGGAGACAAAGGTCAAGCAGCCGCAGTCATCATAGTTAAAGAGCACTGGGCATCAGTCATGGCCAGCAGCTACCATACTATTTTCCGAGACAAATGACACACTCAGGAGTAGCGAGAACTCTGTTTTCAGAGTTGAGATGTGCATACTTTTTGAGGCATCTGCAACAGACACTGTACTGTTGTGGCTGACCCAGGCCAGGGAATTCCCACTGGCAGAGAAGCTGACCCCATGGACCCAACCACCAGTACCACTGCCACCAAGCTCCGACATCAGCTGACAAAGGCATCTTGCTGCCCCAGGGCATGCTGCCTGGCTTCTCCTCCACTTCTTTAATGTAGGCAGAAAATACCCTGCATTTGAAGTTGCATGATCCTGCTACCAATAAAACATTGTTGGGATGCCGATCCAAGCTGAGGACTGTGGAACAAATCAACTTTTTAATGTGTTGGTTACCCACCAGTCATTTTCAGGCTCTAAGTAGCAAACAGAAATGAGTCATGCTTCACTTCCCACAGCAAATTTGTTCTCTAAAGAGGACCACTTCACGAAAGTGGCTGCATGACCAATTCTCAGGATCACCAAGGTTGGCTTCCAGACACCATCTTTCTGGCTCCAGACATAGGCATTGCGGTCTGTCCCACAAGTGACGATGCGGTCAATGTCTGTGATGTGTCTTTTGTGCTCCTTGAGTTCATGAGCTTCCACCCACTGGTTCCAATTTTTATAGATGTGCACTTCATGATTATTGGGGCTAAGGGCAATCCTAGAATGATCACTCTTCCAGGCATGATAGGTGATTGGCTCTAGTAAAAACTGATGCAGGGACATTATTCTTAGTGTTTTCAAAGGATAGAAAGCTGGGGTAGGGGCAGTCTGGATGGGCTCAGAGTGGGAAATTCGCAAACTCTGGTCAGTCAACACAAACAGACTCCAGCGGGCACCAGCAGAGGACTGAGGCCCAGAGGGAGCCAGTCAGTTATCTTTTTGTGTCACTACAATAAACCAAAATGGTGCTGAGGACAACCACTGATGTTGGTTTTCAAAAAGATGAATGTTAGGTGAGGTTGACTTCACTCTAAGGCAATTTCCTGGGTCTATTCTGGCATGAATTATTGACGACAGGCTCTAGAAGCAGTGATTCTTAAGAGGAGATCAGATACTCATAAAAAACCTAACTTCATTCCCTTTTGAAGAAGAACTCTAGACCAAGAATTGTATCTGTGCCATAGACACAGCCTACAGGGATTTCACAAGGCATTTGACACACCTGTACTTCTCTGTTGATGAAAAAGGAGGAATGTAAATACATGATGCTAGAGAAGATGTTAAACTTGATTAAGCCACAGTTCAATTTTAACAATGTTGATTAATTTTCTGATCGTTCTCTGCTTGACTTGTTCTGTTCAATAGTTTAGTCAGCGAGTTACATGAATATAGAAAGCAATATTTATCAGATTCACAAATAACAGAAGAAAAATGATAAAGTATCTTGACAGGATAGAATACATATATAAAATTATATATGAATAAAAAAGTTTTCGAAAGGACAGAAAAGGATAAATACCATTTAAAAAGTCTTAAGGCATTTCAATTAGAAGAAATTTTATGAGTCATTAGTGGTTTTTTTTTTCCTAATTCCTCACAGTCTATGATATCAAAGCATTACTAATAATTCAATAACAACTGCAGTAGCAACAATCCCAGCAACATATGAAAACAACCCAAAAGGTCACTGCTTCTTTTGGCTAGGTACATAATTGAAAGATTTTAAAGGCCTAATATTTTCAAACATCATTCCAGTAACATTTCAATTGCATGAAAGACACCCACACAAAGACTGTTTCAATAAGCATATGCTACCCAAATATATACAACACTAAAATTACCAGAAACAATTGAGAATGTGCCAAAAATGTAATAGTCACATGAAAAATTCACTTGATTTTCTGGTTATCTATCTCAGTTTCCCCTCCTACTAAATAGGGATGGTTAATACTTGTCAACACCACTCGAGAGGTATGGATCATAAAGATCAATAAACAAATCTTTGTCATGTCTTTTGGCCCATTTCATTGAATGTGGCATCTAGCATCTCTGTTCCTCTTGTTAAGGACAATATTCACTCTTCAGTGTAAGAACTTAGTGATTTACCACCCTAGGTTCTTAACACTTGCTTTGCAGCAGGCTCTGGGTGTTTTCTCAGGAGCATGTAGATTCTCATCACCATTCCTGGAGTTGCAGAACCCACATTGAATGTTGTGGCCTTTAGCAATTTTTCCTGAAAGCAAAGAACACAGAGGTCCAGCCTGAAAGGCTGGGGGTAGGAAGCTCTCTGAAATGAAATAGAAGCTTCTGATTGGTACAGATAAAGGTAGGTAAAGGGCTTGTCAGGTAGCAACTGGAATTGTTACAAATATTCACCTTTAAGATGCCAATCAAATCTTTCTGGGTAAAGATTCTGGCAAGGTAGTTGGGAAAGGATGTCTTCAAAGTCATCCCAGTGCTTTACTTCAAGGACTTAGTTTGAATTCCTCCAAAAATCACAGAAATAGAGATTATCTACTTCCATTTTGCTCTGTCCTCATTTGGCTACACTTTGCCCTCCAATTTTTTAATTGGAGGAATTTATTGTCAAGACTTATCACCATAAAGGGAGTTCTAACATTTCTACTTTTCACTTTTTGTTCTGACCTTGATGAATACCTGATGTTTCATTTGCTTTTGGATATTTTTACTAATGAATCTTCAGTACATGAATTAAAAATCCCCTAAAAACCTGGCCCTGAAACTAATGCACCCAGCTGTGTGCCTCTGATGTCGTGATGGGTCCCTGGAGGCAGAAGGAGAAACAGGCCAGTGAGGTTTCTCCCTCTAGCCTTTGACTCAATGGTCTGCCAAGTTTTATGAAACATCAACTCCTTGTATAAGAAAGTATTTTTAGAACAAAACATAATCCTTGCTTCCAAAAAAGAGTCTATAATTTAATTTGGGGGATAATCAACATACATTTTAAGAGATTTTTACTATTGGTTGTATGCACTTGCTGGAGAGACAGAGAGACAAAGTGAGAAATAACCTTCAAGGGGATGGTCATGCCACAATCATTTCTCCTCCATTCTCCTTTTGGGATTTTGGACACACAAGCACACATACCCAGTGTGATTTTCAAGTTGCCAGGTCCAGATTCAAGTCACAACTGGCCATGTGGAAGTTCAGCACCTTAACCACCATGCCACCTTCTGATCGCTCAACATATATAACCTTAATGAAAATCTGTTAACATAGCAACAAGTGCCAAATTCAGATATCAGCATAGTTGTTTACACAGAACAAACATAGAATGTCCATCCTTTTTTCTCATCTTATTATAGAAGCTGAGATAAATGTGAATTATCTCCTTTTCCTGTCTTTGTGCTAGGATCCAAAGCACTCCTGGTAGGAGGATTCCTCCCTGAGGCAATGAGAGGATCTAAAGTGACTCAACTGTGAAGCACTCCCTCCTCACCACCTCCTCCACATTATTAGGGAACTGTAATAAGCTTCACAGAGTCATAAAACCACAGAAGGAAAAATAAATGAAGAAAAGTGTAATCCTCTTATTAAATTTTTTACTTTTTTTTAATTGCCAGAGAGCATAATATGCAGTTATCAGAGAGAGAGGAAGGGAGTGGGAAACAACACTCTCCCAATGGGGTGTAGTCACACCACCATCTGTTTTCCTCCATTTCTCCATCCTGTGGAAATTTGGGGCATGCATGCACATGTGTCCGGTGTATTATTCAAGCCACTAGGGCTGGAGTTAAACCACATTTGGCCATGTGAGATCTGTTACCCTTAACCACTAGGCTACAGGGCTGGCCCTAAAATTTATTTTTTAAGTTCATTTCTTTCATTCATGAGACAGAGGGAGAGGAAGCCCCTGACATGGTCCTCATGCTGCAATCTACCCAAAGGCACACATGCATATCTGGTGTACTGAGAGGCCCAGGGATGCAAATCAAGGACTTTGCCATGTGGGCCCACCTTCACAGAACATTAAATTACTGTTGTACCACCACGACTGCTCCCAGGAAAGGGTATAATGTCTTCTTGTAAAGGGGACAGGAGTTCTCACCTACCATCTTTGCCCTCTGAAACCATAAGCCATGGTCTGGACAACTAAAGAAACCACCTAAGCCCATGTTTATACAGAGCTCGTTAAAATATGCTCCTTCATGCTCAGCCAAGGTGACACATGCCACCAAGACTCTGCTACTTAGAGACCAAGGCTGCAAGAGATGCATGGGTTTGGTTCCCAGCCTGATCTAAACAGGCTGTAGGTGGTATAGTCCTAGTTGGCTAGGAAGCTGGGCAGGAGGATCCCGACATAGGAAGACCCTGTAAAAAAAATGTTTCTCTTTGATAAATAAATACAGAAAATATATAAATTTTAAAAATACTCTCTTACCCCAACAGAGCAATTCCAATACCTTCTACAGTGGTGACAGCAGCTCCATACAGGGAGCAGACAGGTACCAAGCAGGCAGGGACAGAGAAGTGACTTCAGAGTTTACACAGTGACCAGAAACAATCGGCACAGTGATGGCAGCAGTGTCAAAAAAGAAGAAGATGGATTTAGATGGTTATAATTGTAATTACTTTCACATTAATATAAATAATTGCGTGCATGTTAAGGCTGGGTCATCAAAAAGTGATTTTAATTTATGTATAGCTACCTAGAAATGAATATTTTATTACATGGAATTAAGGAAGCCATTTGCCTCTCCAAACTATCTTGTTGAAAAAAATATCTCAGGTGTTTAAATGATCTCTACAGTTCCTAACCCATTTTAGGTCATCAGTTGTGATGGATGGTCAAATAATTAGCTCATTATCCTTCAAACTATTTCTAGCTTGTGTGTGCTCTTATAAAGAGCCTGACAGATATGGGGAAGAAGTTAAATAAGATGACCTGTAAGGCAAGTTATTTCAATAACTTCCCAAGAGTGTAAGCTGCCTGAGGGCAAGTAACTTAGGTTCCTGGTACCTGGGGGAAAGGGTAGCTCAGTAGATATTGGTTGAAAGAATAATGAGGAAAAGTGGGCATTTCCTCAGCTGCTTGTAGGGCTGAATACATACTACATTTATTGTATGTCTCAGGAAGAGAATGGGAGAAATTGATTTTGTCCCTGAACTTGGTCATCTGTCCTCAGGAGAATTGTTTGAACCGGCAGGACAGAAGGCTTTCAAACCTCTTCTGTGAGGACCTTATCGTCGGGGAATCTGGGCTTCGCAGGCTGATGGAGTTGGGTCTCTGGGCACCAACACTCACTCACTAGTCCTATGTCCTTGGTTAAAGCACAGATTCCCTTAGAACCTTTGATTTTCTTATTTGTAAAATAATACAGTACATACTAAGTTCTAGTGTCAAGGTTGTTCAGAGGATCAAGTGCAATTCTGTGACTCCATCAACTATCAACATATATTAATAAATTCATTTGCTTTAGTTCCAGCTCATAACAACTGAGGTCACTCAGCTTTCTTTGTCAAATGGGATGTGGGCCAGAGGGTGCCAAGAATAAAATGCTGTGGGAAATCGATGTGGTTTAGGCTTGGAGACTGGATACTGGATCTTCTGATAAATAGTGGCATACTTGACATCATCACTACAGGCACCACAGTCCTCTCTTCCACAGCCATACTGGTCCCTGCGGGTCAGACAGGAAGGGTTATGGTCAAGGAAAAGCAAGGAACTTGTTCTTTCTCAGTCCGTACACTTAAATCCTCACATTGGGAGAGATTAACCTCAGGACAGACACAGTCCTTTTGGAAATACTTGCTTGTATTACAAGTGATAGGTCCCATTTGTAAATCAGAATGCAACATCTCACAAGGTGGTCAATGAATGGCAATCATTCGAGAAGGGAGAAACATGATCAGTCTCCACTAAATCCAAATCAGAGGTGGAGACCTCTGTGCAGTTTGAAGTCCTCATAATTCTCGGTTGGGAAAGACTCCAACTTTGACTTCAGCTCAATGCTTCTTAAATTCAGGAAAGAGGAAGGCATCTGAACGGAGAACAGTCCAATAGAGTTGAAGCCTCCCAATACTACTTTTTCATTTTTTTTTTCAGAGTGTGTTTGTAATTGCCAGAAACAGAGAGAGGGAGAGAGAGAAAGTGCCCCCAGTGGAGCACGGTTGCACTGCCATGCCATCCTTTTTACTCCATTGCTCTTTCCACTGAGACTTTGGGCATGCATGTGCACATAACTGGTGTGTTTTTCCAGCCACTGGGGCTGTTATTAGCCACCTAAGCCTGATTGCAGCTTCTCATGGTCAGTGAGAGGAGAGGCAGGGGCTGGAGAAGAAGGAGGTTTACTTCTGTAACCGATTACAGGGAGGGAGACAGCAAGTACCATCAGACTCACAAAGCTCAACATGTTCTTGGTATTTATGGGTACCAGAGACAAACATATGCAAACCATTCCTCACTACAACCAATCAGTCAATCATTTTCCCCTGAGTAATTATCCTAATGTGAATCAGGACTGGTTTTATCTGAAACCAGGAAATACTCATTCCTGGTTTTTCATCTGATCATTTGTTAAACAGATCTCCCTATAATTTAGCACTTATTCACATTGTTGGGTTTTTTTTTAAGAATTATTTTATTTAACTTTATTTATTTATTTATTTATTTTAATTTGACCAGAGTGAGAAAGAGAGAGAGAGAGAGAAAGTGAGAAAGTAAGCTGCCAGGGCAAGGCCTTGAACCACAGTTGGCCATATGGGAGTCCAGCGTCCTTAGTCACCACCCCGTCTGCTGGCCCCCAAATTGTTCTTTTTAGACGCTTTTCTTAACTTCCAAATGGCTGGAGTTCTGCTAAAGCATAAACTGGCCTGCTTGAGGGCTGAAATTCAAACCTCAGTTGGCCAATCTGACTCCCTTAAACCCTGTGCTACGGCATTAGTTTTGCCACCTCTTTTAAACAAGGAAATGCAGAATAATTGGGAAAAAAACAAAATACCACTTTGTGTCTGAAAAATAAGAAAACAATTTATAGCCACCTGACACAAAATGCCTGCACTTTCCTTTCTTTCTTAAATTGGTGATGTGGTGGCAGAAGGGATGTTTCATAGTAAATTAGAGCACTGGAAATACCCCAGTGCTTCTGTGACAGC